GGTTAGCTTATCTCAGCTGTTACTTTGTGCTTTCTTGGGGTACAGCCTAGGCTGTGTTTTGTAATTTTAGTGGATGTTCTATTTGTGCATGTGTTTGTGTGCGCACAGGCCACACGTATCCACATGTTCACATGGCCTTTCCCACCAGTATAGAAGCCCCTCTGAGGGCAGGTGCTGTTTTTCTCTTGTATTATTCCTGAAGGAAGAAAGGGAAGTGATCATTAAACACTATAGATTGTGGTCTTTTTTGTTTTTAAATAAATAGAGCAATAAGATTTCTTCTAGCCGGCCAAAAGGTTCTAACCAGAGGGAAAAACTTTAGATTCTCACCACATGCCAAATGTTGAAATGAATTCTAATCGATTTAATGAGTAAATATTAAAAGAAAACCCAAAGAATAAATCAACTAGAAAAAAATTAAGGGAACTATCTTGTGTCTGAATGGTGACTGTCCTTCTTAGACTGAAAGCAAATGAAAGAAATCACAACTAAAAAATTGGTCACTGGATTTGACTTCACAAAAATATAAAACTATGTACATCATAAAATCCAGGAACAAGATATAAATGTACAATAAAAGGGACAAATATTTACCACAAATACGGAAAAGGCTAATTCCTTACTATATAAACAGCCTGTACAAATCAATAATAAAAATAGGTCAGGGCTTCCCTGGTGGCGCAGTGGTTGAGAGTCTGCCTGCCGATGCGGGGGACGCGGGTTTGTGCCCCGGTCCGAGAGGATCCCACATGCCGCGGAGCAGCTGGGCCCGTGAGCCATGGCCGCTGAGCCTGCACGTCCAGAGCCTGTGCTCCGCAACGGGAGAGGCCACAGCAGTGAGAGGCCCACATACCGCAAAAAAAAAAAAAAAAAAAAAAAAAAAAAAGCTCAAAAAATGTCCACTGGCCCCTAAAGCCCCAAAGGCAGGAACTAGTCTTGTTTTTCTGGACTTTCAGTGTGGGTGGCAGTTGTGGGAAATGTTTGGGGAGTTAACACACTTGAATGGTTGACCCTGTCTTTGCTGGTTTTTGCCCAGAGATGTGGGGGAAGGGAGAGCCATCTGGAAGGCCTGAGATGAAAGATTCTGGTCCTCCCCTATGAGAACAAGCATCTCCACATGGTACCCACTTCTTCCAGTGATGTACAACAATCAAACGGACCAATTAGCTTCTCTCTTACCATCTCATAAAAGATTGCAGAACCCAAGCATCTTGGCCCTGGCAGCCAAGGAGATGTGAAAACTGTGTACCTACTGTGTGCCAGGCACTGTACTCAGCACTTCACACACATAGATTCAAGCCTCACAGTGATTGTGGGTCCCACATCCATGGATTCAACCAACCTCAGATTGAAAATGTTCAGGAAAAAAATTCCAGAAAGTTCCAAAAAACACAACTTAAATTTGCTGTGTGCCTGGCAACTATTTATAGAGCATTTATATTGTATCAGGTATTATAAGTAATGTAGAGATGATTTTAAGTATATGGGAGGATGTGCGTAGGTTATATGCAAACACTACGCCATTTTACATAAGGGACTTGAGCATCTGTGGATTTTGGTATCCATGGGGGGTCCTGGAACCAATCCCCCTGCTGGTAACAAGGGATGACTGTACTATTATTCCCATTGACGAAGTGAGGAAATGGATTTACCTTAAAAGTATAAGAACAAAACTCTAACTCCAGGAAACTGGGGAACAGGTCTATCTTTTGAATTATCAAGCATAATACCCAGGGGGGCTCACCACGATTTCAGCCCCCAAACTCCAGAAAACTAGCTGCTGAGCATGTCCTAATTTTCCCACCATTATTTCATTTCAGTCTCCCAATAACCCCATAATGTGGGTGGGGCAGGTGACGTGGTCTCATTTCACAGATGAAGTAAGCGAGGCAGAAGGGGAGGGGAGGGGACTGCTCTGCCCGGGTGGAACAGCTGGCTGCCTGGCCAGCAGACTGGAAGCTCCCTGTGGGCACAGACTGCATCTGCCATGTCACCTCTTTGTCCCCCCCGTGCCCAGCCCATGGGCTTGGCATTTCAGCAGGTCCTCGATACCTATCTCCTGAATGGATGAACAATGCTGGTGCTCCGGACCGGGAACAGCGCCGGGTCTGGAATTCCCAGTCCTATGTTCCTTCCACAAGCCCCAGCCAGCCAGCAAGTGGGGAACGTGGGGCTGTGGCCACCAGAGAGCACGACAAAGCCCCCAAACAGCCTCCCTGACATGCCGGCTCCTCTAGAGGGCTGGCTCCCACCCTATGTTCCCCAGTGTCCTTCCTTCCTGCACAAAGGTGCCTGGACTCTTCTCAAGCACAGCGGGCTGCCCCTGGCCTGGCTCTCTCCCATCTCTGTCGATAAGTTGGGCTGATGCCTGCTCGGAGCTGGGGATCCACTCACCACCCTCGCCAGGCAGGAGGCCAAAGACATCTGAGCATTAACATTCAGAAGGGGCGCCTGGGTGGCGATTCTTAACCTCAAGTCCCTGAATGGGATTTGGCACAATTGAGGACCTCCTGAAACAGGGGGCATTTTTCTCGGGAGAAGGAAGAAAGCTTTTATTGGATTCTCCAAATGGTCCACGATCCTCCCCAAAGTTAAGATCTCTGGGGGGCTGAGACGAGGTAGAAGTAAATCTAGATGTCACCATGAGACAGGAGACAGGCGCAGGGGTGAGGAACAGCCTGCCCAGAACCACTCGGCTTAAAAGTGGCCAAGCAACCTTCCTTGTGAAAGCCCATCAACTGGACGTCTTGAACAACTCTGGGAGTAAAAACAGCTACAGTTGGGTATCCAGAGAGGGAAAAATACCACAGGCCACCACTTTTTGAGCACTTGGCAGGTTCCTGGAATTTTTACCTGTGGCAGCCATTCCATCATCACTGTAATCGTGAGGCTCACTGCTATTCCCATTTCACAAGGGGTGAAATCGAGGCCCAAGGCTACACAGCCCATGAGTGGTAGAGGCAAGATTTGAACCTGGATGTACCCAAATGCAAACCCAGACTCAGCCAGACTCTGTCTCTTAAGCCCAGTTGTCCCTTCTGTGGGAGGCACACACACAGGGCTTACGTGAAGACTCAGGCAGACCTGGGGATGATCCACCTAGCCTCTTCCAACCTGTGTGACCCTGGGCAAGTCTCTTTCCTTATTCTGAACCTCAACTTCCTCATCTGTAAAATGGGAACGACAGCTCCTACCTGGCAGTTTTCTGATAGAACGAAGTAGAAACTGAATATGTTAAGCTCCATATTCTTTGATTCACTTCACCTAGAAATTAGAATCAAAGCCAGGGGCTACCAGCCTGAGTTAGCAGTTTAACCCTGACTGCCTGGGAGCACTGTAGACAAAGGTCCCTTGAGAATATATCACTATGTCTTGTTATGTCCATAAAAGCTGGGGACTGTTTACCAGGCACAAATGCTAAAGACACCAAGGACAGAAATATTAGCCAGGATGGGCTGCAGGCCCATTAGCAGATTTACACTTATTCTGTATCTTTTCAAAAAAAATTCATGTGTTGGCAAGACATTCCCTTGCGATGTTTTGATTCAAAAGATTTACTGTGGTCCCTTACGGAATGTCATTCCCATGCTTCTGTGTGCTGGCTCTGAGAAGCTGTATTCACTTACTCCGTGCTTGTCACAGGAAATGGTATTTATTGCAATATGCTGACTGTGGAAAGTTTCATCTGTGTGGTAGTTAAACCGTTAGTCCTGAGCGATCAGCTCACCCTCTGTGATCTCCAAACTCGATTCTGCATGTAGCTGCGTGTATATATATAAATGGCCTGATTTCACGTGTTAAAGCTCTTTGCTGCTTTCTCCTTACAGGTCTATTTAAAAAGTAAGCTTTGTGAGTTCACCAGATTCACTTCTAGAAAGCAACATGAGTTTTTCTAGCTCAACCTACATAAAGTGCTTAGCACGTGAACGCTGAACCGATGTAAGCCTGGGTCATTACTACTGTCCTGGGCAGTGAGTTACACTCAGAACTAAGAGGACCAGCTCACACTTCTGTAACAGCACCTGGCTGGCACTTCTCGGCCCTTCCTGACGGAGCCACAGTGGACCCCTAACCCTGCCAGCTCTTGCTCCTGTGACTCAGGACAGCCCAGCACCTGTGGTCTGTGTCCTCCTCCTCCACTGCGATTTCTCCATTAGACAGATCCTTTCTTTCTGCAGACGTATATGATGCCTTTCCCCAAAAAGGGCTTTTAAAAAAGCATCATGCATCAGTCAGTGTTTCATGCTGGCACAGCTGTTGGTGCCATCAACTCTTGCTGTGTAAAGGCCAGCAGGCGGGTGGTATTGAGATTCTGTGCGATGTGCACTGGGGGGCTGGGGAGATGCACTGCCTGGCATCTGGGAGCGCAGCCTGTCCGCTGTGGGGAGAAGTGAGATCAAACCCTGGCCCCGTCATTCACTAGCAATGGGACCTTGAGCAGGTCTCAGTCAGTCACTCACTCACATCCCTGATGGTCCTGGGCACATCTACCTTTGAGGACAAGGCACACAGTCTCTGCCTCGAGGGCTCACCGTCTCCCCTGTTCAGGTATGGTGGGTAAACGCAGGGCATTAGGGAATTCAGTAGTGCACTCAGCCAGCTTCCTTCACCTGTAAAACTCAGCAATGGCTACCTGCAGTCACTACGAAGGTTACATGAAGTGAGGCCCGGCAGGGGCTCCACTGATGTAATCTAGTTTAATTTTTACTTAGCTTTCCTCCCGTTCCTCCTGGGGCTGGCCGGCCCAACAGGAAGGAGGGCTGTGAGAGTACGCTCTAATGAGATCCACAAACCAACTTACTCTTTGGGGGGATTCAGGTCCTCAGGTCTTGTTTCAAAGAACTGCAGCACCTCATCACACTGAGAAATGTAGGGGGGCAACTGGATCAGGGCCTGGAGAAGAGACACACAGGTGAGCCCAAAGGAAGGGAAGGGGTGTCAGGAATGACGTTAAGTCAGGAGTCCTCAGACTTGGGCAGGCAACAGGATCACCTGTAGGGCTGGGCCCTACTCCCAGAGTTTCAGATTCAGTAGGTCTGGCATGGAGCCTGAGAATGTGCATTTCTAGCAAGTTCCCTGGTGATGTTGCCACTGCTGGTTTGGGGACCACACACACACACAGTATATATACACACATATATATTACAGGCATATTTGGACAAATAATATGTACATATTTAGACAAAGCAATAAATTGTGAACAAGGTCCTACTGTACAGCACAGGGAACTATATTCAGTATCTTGTAATAAACCATAATGGAAAAGAATATGAAAAAGAATATATATATGTATAACTGAATCACTTTGCTGTACACCAGAAACTAATATAACATTGTAATCCAACTACACTTCAATAAAAATAAAAATTGTGAACTTCATGCCATGTCATTATTCTTCAAATCACCATCTCTACTGGATACTTGCGTCTATTAGATAGATATCTCATGTTTTATTCAACTAGCTGCTTACCGGTGAACATTTAGGTTATTTCCAACATGCCTGCATGTCCCAACTCATGGATCTGAAGTGTTAAAGTGAAGGGACTATTTTATGATTTGGGTAGAAGTTAGAAGTTCCCAGATTAACAAAAGGTTGGGGCCCAGGCATTTATTATGCTGGTTTCTCTACTAACAGGTATTCATTCAGTGATTCAATAGACATTTTCTTTATGCCCAGCACTGCACCGATTTCTGTGGACACAGGACAGAATAATAGGGTACATCCCATTATGAAAGGATTTGAAACAAAGACATGGCTCCAAAATGAATAAAGAGCTTAGTTTAACAAATGTTTACGTAAGCCCCCCTCTGGCACAGGTTCTGAGGATGCAAATCTGAGCGCAGCAGGGTTGTTTCGTGCACCCACTCTATTACAAACTTCTGTGCAGGGAGAGGGCTAGTGCAGAGGCATGAATTTAAACAACACAGGCGTGCTGTGGAGTGAGGCGGGACCCTGCTCTCTCCACAGATAGGGCTCAGCTCCCTGGTGCCTCTCATATGCCTTCTTGTCATGCTGAGTGTTGAGTCTGGAGTGGGAGAGACATGTCTTGTATCTTCTGTAGAAGGAGCCTCTAAAAGCTACCCCCTCACAAAGTGACTTTCCAACCCTAGCATTGGGTTGTGATGGACTAATGGAAAGACAGATGGGGGTCTCCAATGTGGTACCTTCTACAATGCTTTCAGAGGTATTTTGACCTGTATGATCTATTTTTCCAATTTTTAAAAAGTTTTAATTTTTAAATTAAGTTTTACCACAAATTTTATTGTGGTAAAATACACATAGATCATTACTGTCTCCACCTTTTAAAAAAATATTTATTTATTTATTTTTGGCTGCGTTGGGTCTTCATTGCTGCTCACGGGCTTTCTCTAGTTGCGGTGAGCGGGGGCTACTCTTTGTTGCGGTGCACAGGCTTCGCATTGTGGTGGCTTCTCTTGTTGTGAAGCGTGGGCTCTAGGCACTCGGGCTTCAGTAGTTGTGGTTCACGGGCTCTAGAGTGTAGGCTCAGTAGTTGTGGCGCACGGGCTTAATTGCTTCACGGCATGTGGGATCTTCCCGGACCAGGGCTCGAACCCGTGTTACCTGCATTGGCAGGCGGATTCTTAAGCACCGTGCCACCAGGGAAGCCCCCGGTCTTCACCATTTTTAATTGTACAATTCAGTGGCATTAAGTATGTTCACACTGTTGTGGAACCATCACCACTACCCATCCATCCAAGAACTCTTTTCATCTTGTAAGACTGAAACCATGTACCCATCAAACAACAACTTTCCACTCCCCCTCCCCAGCCCCTGGCAACCACCATTCCACTTTCTGTGTGTATGAATTTGCCTACTCCAGGTACCTCATATAAGTGCAATCATACAGTATTTACCCTCAAAGTGACTGGTCGATTCACTTAGCATTATGTCCTCAAGGTTCATCCACATTGTAGCATGTGTCAGAATGTCTTTCCTTTTCAAGGCTGAATAGCATTCCATCCCACGTATACAACACATTTTGTTTATTCATTCACCCCTTGGTAGTCACTTGGGTTGCTGACCTGACATGACCTTTGAGTCAGGCTCTGACTTTAAGCCACTTCCCCTCTCCTGATGTATGACCTGGCCCAAAACTAAAGTGGGGAAATCTGTAAGGTAAGTGGACATGTTTTAGTAGGGTGCCTTCCCTGGTCACTGTCTACTTTCTATGCTGGATAAAGATAGGATGAAGGATGCTGACCTAAGGGCCTGGTATTTGTGGCTCATTGATTTTTTTTTTTGCGGTATGCGGGCCTCTCACTGTTGTGGCCTCTCCCGTTGCGGAGCACAGGCTCCGGACGCGCAGGCTCAGCGGCCATGGCTCACGGGCCCAGCCGCTCCGCGGCACGTGGGATCCTCCTGGACCGGGGCACGATCCCGCGTCCCCTGCATCGGCAGGCAGACTCTCAACCACTGGGCCACCAGGGAAGCCCTGATTTTTTTTTTTTTTTTATTAGCCTTGAAGTATCTCCTGTTCTGTGGCAAATCCCCAGGGACCAGCCTTTTCCAGGCCAGAGAGCCCAAGAGGGACAGAGTGGACACATCCCACTTCCCATTTCTGACCCCCTTCTCTTTCTGGTTCGGAGCAGCGAGTATTCATTTTCCTGCTGTCTTGGGGCTCCCCGTGGGTCGCTCTTTCTTCTGAAATCCTGCAGCTCTTGCAGTTGGAACCACATAATGAAGGGGCTGATTATATGCTGGACCGTGGTGTGTCCTGGCTGCTTCGTGGGCAGAAATCTTGCGGCTCCCCCCAGACTGCAAACACAACATTCTCTTATGTTGGCTCAGCACTTGATGGCTCCCAAAATGTGCTCGTCTGCATCATGTCATGTCATCCTGAAAGGGCTGGCCCACTTTAGAGATGGTGAAACAGAGGTTCTGGGGAAGTGACTAGGACTTGAGCCCCCCAGCGACTCCAGCTCCTCTACTCCAAATCCAGAGGATTTCCTCCTGCACCTTCCCACATGCCTTGACAGTGCTGAGAGGACCCTGATGCCTGGTTGAAAGTATCTGCTGGATAAATGATGCGAGGAAGAGGCCTGGCCGTGGCCACGTGGCCCTGGGTAAGCCCTGAGGTGGCCATGGTTTCTGCCTACAGGGGGCCTCTCTGCTGAAATGGGCAGAGACCCCGAATGGACCAGTGCGGAAGGGACAACGAGGCCCATGGAAACCTCCCGACAGTGCCAAGTTCTCTTTAGGTTTTGAGCAAATCCTAGGAGGTAAAAGCCAAACTAAAAAAGCATAATACAAAGCCAAGCTACTCACAAAAGGCAGCACCGAATGCTTTGATGTTTGCCCCTTTCATTTTGGAACGAAAGGCTAACAGCAAAAACATGACCTGGGGCACAGCAATAGTTCCGCTTCTGAAATACCCCAGAATTGTCTCGTGTTTGGTCAGTATGACAAAGAACCGCAGTTCCAAGAAAACTCTGGCTCTGGTCCGCATGGAATCCTGGCCCTTTGGACAGATGTGGCTGCTCGATGCAGAGGCAAGAGGAGAGGTGAGGAGGGCAAGTCCTGCTTGCCTGTGTAATAATGAAAGGTCAGACAGATCCAGCTCCTGGTTCTGGCTCTAGCCATGTCCTATCACCTCTGAGCCTCAGTCTGCTCATCTGTAAAATGGAAATAACTAACACCCATCCTGGAGGGTTGTGCTACAGAACAAGTGAGCAAGTGGCTGTAAGGTTTCCATCATATACTAGCTGCTTGATAAACATTCAGTTAACTCTCTGGCTCTCTGGACTGTACCAAGTACAATAGTGTGCTGCGGGACTTCCCTGGTGGCGCAGTGGTTAAGAATCCGCCTGCCAATGCAGGGGACACAGGTTCGAGCCCTGGTCTGGGAAGATCCCTAATGCCACGGAGCAACAAAGCCCGTGTGCCACAACTACTGAGCCTGCACTCTAGAGCCCGCGAGCCACAACTGCTGAGCCCGCGCGCCTAGAGCCTGTGCTCTGCAACAAGAGAAGCCACCGCAGTGAGAAGCCCGCGCACTGCAACAAAGTAGCCCCCACTCACTGCAACTAGAGAAAGCCCACGCGCAACAACGAAGACTCAGCACAGCCAAAAATAAATAAATAAATAAATAAATAAATATTTAAAAAATAGTGTAAAAATAGTGTGCTGCTTCCAGGGACGACTTTAGAGTCAGCAAGGTGATTCAGTTCAATCACAATGCCTCGGCTAGAGAGAGAGAGTTTGTGTCTTCAACAAAATTTTAAGTGCACAGCACAGCACTGTTGGCTATTGTACAGCAGACCTCTACAGCTGATTCCTTCTTGCTTGACTGAAACTTCATGCCTGTTGATTAGTAACTCCTCATTTTTCCCTCCCCCCAGCCCCTGGCAACCACCATTTCACCCTCTGATTCTACGAATTTGACTATTTCAGATAACTCATGTAAGAGGAATCATACAGTATTTGATCTTTCTGTGACTGGCTTATTTCACTTAGCATAATGTCCTTAAGGTTTATCCATGTTGTTGCGTATTGCCGAATTTCCTCATTTTAAAGGCTGAATAGTATGCTATTGTATGTACAGGCCACATTTAGGTTGATTCTACATCTTGGCTATTGTAAATAGTGCTGCAATGAACATGGGAGTGCTAATATCTCTTCCAAATCCTGGTTTCAATTCCTTTGGACAAATATCCAGAAGCAGGATTGCTTGACTATATGGTAGTTCTATTTTTAATTTTTTGAGGAACCTGCATACTGTTTTTCATAGTGGCTGCATTTTGCATTCCCACAACCAGTGTGCAAGACTTCCAATTTCTCTATATCCTCACCAACACTTGTTTTCCTGTTTTGGTTTTTATTTTACATCTTTATTGGAGTATAATTGCTTTACAACGTTGTATTAGTTTCTGCT